GCATGTTCGAAAGTGAGGCCCTCAATTTCATTGAAACCATAGGGAAAAAAATGAGACAGATCTCAGGGGACTCCAATGAATGGTTTTACCTTCTTTAGCAGATATCCCTCGAAATCTACCGGTTCAATTTTTTAAGTATATTCATTCTTCTATCTTTATTTGTTTTTTTAAATATATTTTTAATTTTAATATTGTTATTTGTATTTAATTTTTTTACATTTTTTTTAAAGTTTTTTTATGATGAAAAAAAAAGAACCATTTATAAAGTATCTCTGTCGTGCTCTTTGTTATGCAAAAATGTATCCATTATTTCACATATTCAGATTTAAAGAATTACATTTTTATTTTTATTAAAACGATAAATATGAAAAGATAGAATATGCCATGAATAATTTATGAAATTCTTAAAATTACAATATCAATATGACACAATTTGTGTGTAATATTTTTTTAGGGAATATCAAACAACATCTTATTTTACTTCCGTCGGGCGTCCATGATTGAAATCCAAGTAAATAAAGAAGAATTTGAACTTAAAAAAATTTACGACAAAAGACTTTTGACGAATATGATAAAAATTGATTCAACAGCCCTTTAAAAACCAATTTATCTAAGTTACAAAAAAATCATAGCATCGAGGATTCGTGATAGCTTGAAAAATAAATTAGGTATTATTATTTATGTAAAATATTTTTAGGAAAATGTAAATTATTTGGAATAAATAGCTGAATTGAGCAATATAGGAATTATTTATCTGATATTTATACCTTTTTAAATTAATACAATTTTAAATGCAAGAAAGAAAACTTGATGGCTGCAAAGATAGTCTAATTCCCTGCTTGTTTTTATTAAGGTGAAATATAATGATATAAATACCTAAAATGCTAATTTTAATCTACTTTGTAAATATATCAAAATAATTATATATGTATATCTTTGTCAATAATTCGATTTTGATGGTTGCGAACTTCTGCCTGGAAACTCTATCATAAAAAATAAGATAATTTTGCTTCTATTTTACAATCCCATGACTTAACATTTACCTAGGCTGCAATTTAAAATATTAAATGTGATGAATTTAAATTTCACTTTCGAATAACTATATTATATCTTACAAATAATAAAAAAACATTCTAAAAAGGTAATTTAATTTCCCAGTAGGACTGAAAATTTTCAAATAATATATAAATTCCTACAAACAGTGGCGAGGCTCCCTCCTCAATAATTCCAAAAATTAACTTTTTATTCTTTTAAAAAACGATTATCTAATAATATAATTTATATTTTAAAACAAATTAGAAATTTTATCCTGCCTTCGTGGCCTAGATTTAAATTTTTCAATGAGAGACTCAAGATATGATGGACCTTCAGTAAGTGTATATACATTAAAGGGTAGCTCATATTTAGAGAACTTTGTAGTTCACGTTGCCTTAATATGATATCAGAGGCATTTGTAATTAGATACATCAAGAATAGTTTAATAATACTTATATTTAATTAGAATTAATTCGTTTTTTTAATATATATTATAAATAATATCTTTAACTAGATATTTCTAATATATTTTTTATAATTTAACATCTTCTCTTTGTAATTTCTTTCCAACACCCAAGAAGAGGGAGCTATTTAACCAATGTTATACCATCGATTCGAATAATCAAAATAAAACAAAGAAGATTCTACCCGATTAGATTTATTAAAAGGCAAGAGTCGGTTATACTTTTTTTGAAATTATATTGAGCTATATTTACAGCCCTTAAATCCTATATATCAAAAAAGGAAAAAGATTTATCAGAGGCTGAAATAATCTGTTGTTGGCTATTACCAACCCACAATTTTTAATGGCAATTCAATGTGTTTATTTTTTATTTATTTATACATACGATTATATTAAAATATTTCAAATGACTTTGGTTTAAGGAAGGTCAAGAAAGCAGAGGCTAAGATATTAAATGAGTAAGAGAGAATGCAATTTGATTGGGATTAAAATTTTTAAACCTAATGCAGTTTCCCGACAATCAAATTGCACAAATACTGATGCATCGGCTGTTAAGAATTATTATAAAATAAATATTTTTATTCCCCTTATGATACATTTTTATTTAAATTAAGGGAAAGGTTTATTGGCTATAATTTTATTTTAAAAAATTTTTATTTTATTTTCCTAGTACAGTCTGAATTGTTGATTATACAGGAAATGCTTGCATACATTTAAAAAATCTCTTCATTTTACTTGGTTGATTTAGAAGTATATTATGATATTTCTTTATGATGTATAGTTTTGATATAAAAATATGAGCAGAATTGTGTATTCTTTGAGACAAGAAATTGCTTTGTAATCTTTCCCATGTGTAGTTGCACTTTGGATTTTTTGTCTAATATTAAAAAATCTTTATTTATTTTAGCAGTGGCGTATCCAGGATTTTCTTATAGGGGAGAATTTTTTGGGGGCTTCGCCCCCAAACCCCTTTTACCCAGCTTTCCCCCGGCCTTCGGCCGTGTCTTATTTAGCTATTCTATTAAATTATGGATAATTTAATAATAATTATATTTCTATTTTTAACTATTATTTACTAATTCGTGCTTATGGATAGGATATTACAAGCCTCTTTTTTATTATTTCAAGTTAGGTATATTATATTTAATAAAGCTTTTTTAAATGTAAAGGTTTTTTTAAATGTAAAGGTTTTTTTAAATGTAAAGGTTTTTTTAAATGTAAAGTTGAAATAAAGTGTAATGTCATTTTTTTTATAAAATTTGCTTTAAAAACTAGCCTCAGCTTAAATTCTCATACAATATAAGTAGAATATAATTTTTTTATTGAAAATACTAATAGTAGTTTAAAATATTGACTAGAAAATAATTAAATTAACAAGTTTTTTTAGCTTCTTATCAAATACAAGATTTTTAATTATTTCGTTTGTCGTTGGAACCAAATCTCTGTGTATATTTAACAGAGCTAACCCATTTAGCCGAGATTCAGTACTTCGTAAATATGTTTTCAACCTTCTCAAGAGAAAAAGTCCTTTCATTCGTACATGATGTAATAGGCAAACATGCAAGAATATAAAACAACTTCTAAATATTAGGAAATTGAGCCAAGGTTTCTTTACACCGATTGAGCGCATCAATAGCATGCTCAGGTAAAATAGCTAAACGTATAAATATTTGTACCATAATTCGAATTCACTGATTAAATTTATTTCAGTATCAATCTCATAGGAATAAAATTTTTCTAAATATTTAATTTTACCAATAGTGGCATTAAAAAATGAAGAAGGATCTTTGGGTAATAAAACTTGAAGATTGCTAAAGACTTGTTTTTTATCTAAAACCCGTACTTTTATTTGCGATAAAAAAGTATCTAAGAATGGGATGAAAATGGATATTTTATAATATTCTTCAGTTGAGCCAATATTTATTTTCATCTCAATAATGGCCTAGGTGCTAGACGAGGTTTAATTAGTATTATATCATAAAATTTAGCCTTCGATTCAACGTCTAGATAAATATTATGAAAATATTTATCTACATTCATTCTTATTGTATCTACCTGTTCATGTATATTTTCCGCCAAATCAATAACCTGAACCAAATCTAAATTTGGTTTTTGTAAATTTCTACAAAGTAGTGAGCTAAAAATAATTTATTGATGCAACTAGCAGCAATGATAAACTCTGATTGATCAATTGAATTTAATAATGATATCGCTGCTAACGACACATTACTTTTTTCATGCTCAGCCTTATTTATAAATTATCGTTAGATTTCAATCTCTTTGACTAAATATTTTTACATTTTATTAATATTTTTGAATAATATGTTGGGAAATTGATATTCAAATATTTGTAAAATTTTGATTAGTGGGGGGGGGGGGAGGGGAGGGGGGGGGAGGAGGGGGGAGAAGGGGGGTAAAATTTTTATTAGCTTAAAATGATATTTATGAAAATAGTCAAATTTGCGAGCCCCCCCTCCCCCCCCCCCATTGGTTATTCGCGTGTATTTTAGCTACATTACCCATTAGTACGCACTAATGAAAGATCTTTCTCAATTCAAAAAGGTTAAAAACCTAATTGAGTAATACAACCAGTGAGAGCCTTTTAAATAGATTAGTCATATTGAATAAAGGGATTATTCTTAGATAAAAATTTAACTCTGAAACTAGCAAAGTCTCATATTTTCAATATAAACTATATTACACAAATTTTTATTATAACAGATTATTCATTATAACATAAATAATGTATTTATTTTTTATACTATTAATAAAATTTAAGAAATTTTTTTATTTTTTTTCCAATTAATAACATTTTTTTTAAAAAAAGGATTATTTACAATAAAATTTATCCTTTTAGAGTCTCTAAATAAAATTATATATTTTTTTAAAAAAATCCTTATTTACTATCATAAAGTTCTCTATAAAAGTTTGCTATGCGAAAATTGGTATATACTAATACCCCCCCCCCCTGGCGTTCTTTTTAAAATTCTACTGGTTTTCAGATATATGTTTTTTAATTGATTTGATCATGCAGCATATAAAATTTTAATGAATCTAACAATATCCATCTTTAGAGTATATGCCGGACTCAGTGGATTTGTTAGCCTTTACAATCTTAGGAAGTTCAAAAATTATTTTTAATCACCTAAAATTTAGCTAAAATTTTCAAAATTACCTCCTTTTTTAAGTATTTTTTTTCAAATCTAAATTTTCACAAGGCTTTTCAAATTTTCCAGGGGCCTCGAGTCCCTATGTGCCTCCTAGTGACGCTTGATGCCTTGACAAAAGGAATTTCAACCGAGATTCTTATAAATATTATATAGATTATATTTTCCATTTCGAATTTTACATTTTTAATTATTAATTTTTAAACTATACTATATTTTATGATTAATTAAATCTTTTATATGATTTTATGACTAATTATTCAAAATAAAACTTAAAATTAAGTCTTTACTATGATTATAATGTTTTTACAGGTGTTTTTAAGCATTATGCAATGACATATTCATTGACATTATGTTATTTATATTTATTAACCTATGTCTATGTGGGTAAATTTGAAAAAGCATTTCGTAATATATTAACTCTCGCACATTTTTGCAAAAATATTTTTTTATCATTTTCCTATGCTTTTTAAATCTGATATAAATCTTTAAAATTAATGTCTAAAGGTAAAGTTAACCAACCTCCACTTCATAAAGTCATTATGGTTGGTAGTGGGGGTGTTGGTAAATCTGCTTTAACATTACAATTTATGTATGACGAGGTAAAGTAAAACATTAATTTTGATCCTAATTTTATATTCTTAGTTTGTAGAGGACTATGAACCGACAAAAGCCGATTCATATAGGAAAAATGTAGTTTTGGATACTGAGGTATGTCAAATTGACATACTTGATACTGCTGGCCAAGAAGATTATGCAGCTATAAGGTTTATAACATAAATATATATAATTCTTATAAAAAACATATATTTATTTTAGAGACAATTATTTTAGAAGTGGGGAAGGATTTTTATGCGTTTTTTCTATTACTGAAAGAGAATCCTATGATGCGACAGAAGATTTTAGGTTAAAATTTTTACAAAGTTTTTTTTTAATTTTTAGTGCAGAGAACAAATATTAAGGGTGAAAAATGAGGAAGAAGTCCCATTTATATTGATTGGGAATAAATGTGATTTGGAACATAAAAGACAAATAACTAAACAGGAAGCTATAAATAGAGCAAATCAGTGGAATGTTCCTTATATTGAGACATCTGCAAAAACAAGAACAAATGTTGATAAGGTTTGATTATTTAATAAATATATTTATTATCTATAAATTTGAGATCTATCCTTTAAAAGATAAACCTAGGGTCTGCACTATCTCATTATAAAAGGGAAGTGTTAACTGTATAATAGATATTTTTTGTAAATAATTTATCAGGTGTTATTATTTTATTTTATGGCCCAGTCTGGATTTTTAAAATTTAGTTATTTTTAATAATTTTTGCTGTACTATGTAAATTGTTATTAATGGGAAATTGGGCATCTTACTTTTGAATAACTGCTAAACAACCCAATAGTTATGCAAAATTTTCATAGGGGGGGGGCTTTTGGGTGTTTTTTTTATCTAAATATTTTTTTTTAGGTTCCCATTTTTGAAGGCCTTTGGCTGAAATACAATTTTAAAAATGTATTTACACTTTTCTTAAAATTTAATAAATCATTGTTTAAAAAAATTATGAATTTTTCTTTTTCCTTTTTTAAAAAAATATTGTTTATAATGCTATAACAGGCAAATTATTTTTTCACATTATTCATGCTCTAAAGGGTTGTGTTGTTAAATGACTCATTTTGAGCTAATTTTTAAATATTTTATCCAGAAAAATATTAAGCAAGCCTGAAGATTTTGTTCATAGAAGGCACAAAGGTCTACGCATATTAATGAAATTTTGTAGTTTAGGTGATATTTTTATGGCTAAAGTATTGATTTAGAACAAAATTACTAAAGGGCAATAGAAAAATTTTTTGAAGTATAATATTTGTTCCTTTTACACTTGTTTTTCTCTAAATCATTAAAGCAAATTTAAATGATATTAGAAGCTCACCTATGAATAAAAATTATTTCCAAAATCATAATTTTTACTCTATAGTATTCTTCATCTTACATGTTGATGCATATACCATAACTATGCTTATATCCATGCAATTTTTAAAAATTTTAACCCAACCCTTTTATATATTTTTCAAACCTGGCCCAAATTTTTAAAATTGTACTATTTTTGGCATGTTCATAGTGGGGATGAGATGAAATGAATATTGATATCACATAAATAATATGGTATAAATATTTTATCAATATATTCCCATGTTCATGGTTTTATTTACTTTTTTTTTAAAAAAAATCAACTATTCGATTCAAACTATTTTTATCCAAACCAATATTCAACTTGGAGCCCCAGTTTTCTGAGCCTTACTCTCTATAGGATAGTACAACAATGTCCCTATTCATTCATATAGCCTTCTTTAAAATTAAAACAAATCGACTTTACTCGATTTTGAAGCCTTTTTTTTCGTTACCTATTCATAATGAATGAGACTTCTATATTTACAAAGTATCATCGCTAGGAAACGATTTTGCCAATCAAGCAAAAAATAATAATAACATAAACCACTATTTAAATCGTCTTATTGTAATTGTTAAATTTTAAAACTAACTGCTTATGAAACCTATAAAAAAAATAAAATATTTTTAAAATCAAATTCCCTCCCAAATCAAGATGTGTTTCTTAATTTCAATAAACTGCATTATTATTTTTCTTGGTATTGGTGTTGATGATATCTGCTAAAAGAGAAATTTTTTAAACACATTTCTGATCAACCTTAATATACATAGTTAAGATTTCTATAAAAAATATGTATAACTCATAATTTTATTTTAAAAATACTAAGACTAGCACATAGCCCTGCCCCTAATCTTTTTTTAAATATATTTATGAACCCTTTTACAACCCGGCCTGGAAAAATTTTGGGTTATAAATTTTAAACGATCCATTATATAATTTTATCGGAAATAATTTTTAAATGGGGCCGTGTTTTGTAAAAAAAAATTGTTTTTTAATCCTTAGCCTGGGGTTTTTAAAATCCACTACCCTTTTTATGCTGACTTATAAATCTCTAACGCCTCGATTTGTTCAAGTGGTGCGGTATTTAACGCTGCGTTATTTAAAAACTCAAGCAAATAAATATGTATAATCTATAAATATGGAGCGAAACGATAAAATTTGAAAATAACATATGTTACAAACGTTAATTTCAAAAATTATTATCATTTGAATTAGAAAAAAACACTTAATTTTTTAATAACCCCCCTATAATGGTTGTTAAATGGCTCGATTTTTTAAAAAATATTATTCCAGTATTTTAAAAATATTACGCAATCCTTTAGATTTTACTCACAAATGTTTAGATATCTATTAATGAAATCTCAAGGCTTGCATGATATTATTTTGACCAAAATCTTAATTTAAAATTGGCTAAATCGTGCGGTTTAACAACATAACCCCCTAAAAAATAATCTATACAAATTTATATTTTATAAAAAATAAATATATCAATAGATATTTTATGATTTACTCAAAGAAATTAACAAGAAAAAAAGTCCAGAAACAAAAGACGTAAATTTCAAGCGAAAAGCCTGCAAAAAGAAGCGTTGTTTTATATTATAACTTGTTAATTACTATATAACCAGCCTATCAGCTTTTCTCTCTTTATAAAAAAAAAGCATTGTGTGATATGATACAATATAGATCAAATAATTTCGATGGTTTAAACTTAAATTCACAAAATCTGTTAATTATATTATATTACAACAATATACCTATATATAAAAAAGTGCATATATATTTAAAATAAATTTAAAAAATGAATAAACTTATAGGAAATTATATATATATATTTTTTTTATATAACTTATAATTTGTTTTCATTTTATCGCACTATTTTAAAAAAAATATCTAGCTCTTCCTTTAAATTTAAAATCAATAAATAATTGTACATATTATAACTATACATACATATTATTTAATTGAAAGTGATTTGTCATACCTTTATATTATTAAGTAATTCAAAATGTAAAAGCCATGTTTATAAAAGGAATGAATTTTATGATCAATAATACTAATATCATATTATAGACGTCAACTCAATTTTATCAACGCATTTTTCTTATATTTATTTTTTATTACATTACGTAATTAACTTATTCAATAAAAAAATATATAAAGTTTGTTAATATCCTATAAATAAATTAAATGTAATATAACATATCTTACTAGTAAATTAAAATAAAAATAATATTCTCTTTTCTTTGACATTATCTTACATATTTAACGCTTTCGGCTTATTCATGCAATTATTTCAACAACAAATGAGATTATTTTGCAGGGGGTTGTGATAATTCTATTATTCAATATTATTTTTTTTCAATCTTTGTATCATCATCAAGCAAAATAAAATTGGAAAAAGATAAGATAATATTTTTTTCATTCATATCTAGTGGAATATAGGTTAATACTCTTTCGAGATTAATGATTAAGCAAGAACTTGCACGGCAAGTTCCAGAAAAGGAAAATTTTTACCTTGTCATGGGATAAAAACTAAAAAAACAGGGCCTTCGATCTAGGTCTCATTTTATAACTAAATGCCATTCTCAACATTTTGAAGTCTATAAATAATTATTTAAGTTTCTTTCACAAATTATTTATAGTTTGAGATGATTTTTTTAAACTGAAAATTTTAATTTTTATAACAATTTTTTTATTAAAAAAAAAATTTTACACTGAACTGTTAAATCTTATTTGATATTATTTATAATTATATATTTTAAATTCAAAATATTCTAACTTAATTTTTATAGGGTTCTAAAATAACACTATTATACATTATATAAAATATCTTATTGTATAAAAATTTAAAAATTATGGGCGGAAGATATAAATATGATTGTAGTGTTTTCTAAAAAATAATCATTTTGGCCCAACACAATTTCTACTATACATTTTTCAAAATAACTTATATGAATGAATCATAAAATTCATGTTGAAATTAATAATTTTAAACAAATCTATATTATTTCTTTTAAAGTTCGCCGCCTAAATATTTTCTTAATATTTATATTTTTTTAAGTCAAATAATTTTTCAAAAAAAAAATGATTCTCGCATTTTTACATTATGTGTCTAAAATCGATTTCGTATATTTCAATTCAATAATAAATTAATTTATTTTAAAATAAAATTTTTAATTTGCACCTTAAGTCTCATTTAAAATAAAATGATTTCTAAAAAAACTTAAGAATCTATGATATTTAAATATGTGTCAATAGCGTCTTTGAGACAATGTAAAGTCTCGCTGAGCCCTGAATTTAATTTATACTTCAACACAGGTTTAAGTCAAATATTACATTTTCATGCGGTTTTGATAATTTTATAGTTTGGATTTTTAAAATTTGGTTAATTTTGTTTCTCTTTTTTAAAAAAAATTGTTTAAAAGGGGAAATTTAATATATGAAGTTAAAGAATGTTGAACGATTTCATTCATACGATTTTCTAACCATTTATTAGTAGTTAAAATTAATTTTTATCAGCCTAAGGTTTTATAAAAAAATATAATAAGGCCCGAATCGGCTTTTCTATTTTACTTGCTTGGGCAAGGTTCTTGCATTTTTGTACAATACTAAATTTATTCAGTTTCCGAAACAGCGACAACTCAGAGAAAGTAATTTATTCACTGAATTAACTAAAAATCTAATTTATTTTAATAATCTTAATTTATGAATTCTAGAAAATAGGTGTAAATTTGGTGATATAAAAAAAATATAATCTAAACTTATTTTATAATTTCTTTAAAAAAAAATACTATAATTATTCCCAAATTTTTTTTCTCCACTAATTATGGAAAAAATTATAAGTTTAATAAAAGGCTTGAAAAACACATCGAAGGAATCCCTACTCTTGATCAGCTTGATTTGTTCGGTTATAGTAGGTAAAAAAAATTATAACTTGAATTTTTTAGGTTAATTTATTTTTTTGAAAAAAAAATACAGGCGGAATATTTTTCGTTACCGAATTAGATTTGGGGCCTCGAATTAATAGATTTATAGCTCTACCGGGACAGCTGTTTGTAGCCATCTTAAATTTCATCTCTATCCCCCTCATTTTTATCAATCTATTAGTAAGTTTGGGAAGATTTACCACGAAATTTTCGGGAAAGCTTTCGTTATGGCTTTTACTTTGGTGCTTAATATCTAGTTTCATGGTATGCCTATTTTCTCTGGTCTACAACATAATTTTATCCCCGGCTTATTCGTTGAACCCTATGGCCAAACCGCCCGAAATCACTCATGATTGGGTAGTGGCTGATATTTTCTACGATATATTCCGGTAATTATTAATGGCGAATTTGCCTACTATATTAATTATAATTTACTTTCTAGAAATCTCGTCCCTGATCATTGTATAACGCTCTTTTTCAAGCAAGTTTAATTATTGTGATTAACTTTGAATTTTTATTTGATCTTTTCATATTTAAAATCAAGTTTAAAACTGACGTGAAAAAGAAGAAAATATATGTAAACGCCACTCAAGCTATGGGTTAGAAAGTTTTTTTATAAATAAATTAATATTTGCACAACATATTACAGACAGCGGTGACGTATTCACGCAGGATTTATCCAAGAGGGGGAGGGGGTGGGGATTAATGAAAAATTATGATTAGATATTATTGATTTTCATTTTGTTTTTTTAAGTAGGTGGCATTATCATCGCTGTCAAAGTTGTCTGATCTAGTAAGCATAAATTTTAAAATCTCTGTGTAAATGTTTCATGCTTTATAAGTCCCAATGAGTGCTTTAACCATTATAGTAGCCAGTAAAAAGGAAGAAATTATTAGCAACAAAAATTACTGACATACGATTAAAAGTGATTGAAAAAATTTATTCTGAAAATTTTGTACATGTTTAATCTTAATTATATATACCGAAAATCAGAATAAATTGGCATCAAGATAGAATGAGAAATATAAAAGAACTAAGTATCTAGTTTGTGCTAATATTTAGTACCTGATTTAATTCTTCAATCAATTTTCCCGCTCACAAAGAAGTAACCGTATTATAAGCCAAATAAAATCAGAATCTGGCCTTAGAAGTATTAACTCTGAAATTTATATCAATAATTAGTGCGAATTTATTACATTAATACTTCAATCTGTTTGACAGATAACGCATTACTGACAAAATCAGGAAAGATTCCATTAGCATTATACGAGAACAAACATTATAGAAGCACTGAATATTTGAGTGAAGCCATGTGCTAATTCATCAATCAGTTTCCAGTCAATTTAAAAAAAACCAGTTATGAGCAAAATAAACAAACGACACGCCTTAGGCTGAGTCTTAAATATCGTATTTTAAAATGCGATTCAAAGATAGAAAATACATTAAGGTTTCTTTTTCCCCGATTCAAAAATATTGAGTTTTATGCTTCTTAGATATTTGTTCTTTTCGGTTTATTTTATAGATATATAAATAAAATAGTGTAAATTAGAGGTCTGCATTGGGCGGGGTTTCGGCCCGCCCACGCCTGCCCCTCTAAGTGGGCGGGCGGATGGGCGGTAAAAATTTTTCGAGAATGGGCGGGCGGGTTAAAAAATTTGAAACTATGGATGGGCTGGGCGGGCGGGTTAAGAAATTAAACAATGGGCGGGCGGATTAAGGAAATTTAAAATTTTTGTTCATAAACATCCTAAAAAAAATAATTGTTTAAATGATCTATAACAATATTTCTTTATTGTACCAATCGTTTTTTTTAAGTGAAGAACATTTACCTAACTATATGTAATAAACACAACAATAAAACTTTTTTCTTAGAATAAATAAACATTTTTGTCTATTAAAAATTTCAATTTATATACATTTAATATTAATTTTACATTTATATTTTTTTTATAAATATTCAATTTGATCAAATAAATTGTCCATAATTTACATTGATTATTTTTATACTTATATTAATTTCCTAAATTATAAACTTTTTGTAGAGGTGTAATGCTGAAATATTTTTATTAGATGCTTAAAAAAATGAAAGAATGACCATAATTAAATTTTATAAGCGGGCTTAGGTTAAAAAATTTTTATAAAAAATGGGCGGGCGGGTAAAAAATTTTAGACTAATGGGCGGGCGAGTAAGGAATTTTAAACAAATGGGCGGGGCGGGTGGGTATATATTTTTTGAAAACAATGGGCGGGCGGGTTATATTTATTTTAAATATTAGATTGGCGGGCTTTTGGTCCAAAAACCCGCCCAATGCAGTGAATAGTTATATTTTCAAAATTTTTATATGAATCTGAATTATAAGACACAGTCATAATAAGCATGAAGTTTGCTAAACTTTTGAAAGCCAATATTAGCTTAATCTACAATTCGTTTGGTAAGTAATAAAAAAGTTATTAGCAAAATAAGAAAATTTATAAAATTCGTATTAATATTTAAAAGGAAGAATTTAGAAGCACCAAAGCAATTATAATACAAAAAAATTACATAAATGAAATATCTAAAATATAAAAAAATAATATCATTATAATAATCAACTTTTTATCATAATATCAAAATATTATACTCAATGTCCCTGGCTAGTGTTGTTAAACAGCTCGATTTAGCCTATTAAAAAAAAACACTAACTCAATAATTTAGCTAAAATTTAATTATCCAAGCTTGGAAATTTTTCCCACAGAACAAAAAGTTCTGGAACATTATAGTGTCATACAACAATTTTTCAGCAATTTTGATATTATAATTTAGTAAGTAGCGGTAGCTTAAAAAAGTAATCAAAGAACACTTGTGGCATCTTTGGAAAATTTAATAAGCAAAGTAGGATGTGGGAAATTTAAAACGATTATAATAGCTCATTTGTTTCACCCCTAAAGCGATAAGGCGGAGATATTGTTAAGTAAAGAAATACTAAGTGCGCTTTTATCATTTAAAAAAGAAATGGTCAGTCGCCGATCTCAAAGAATTTAAAACACCTCTGGGAAGCGTCCATTTTTTAAATCATAATTTATAACAAATTTTTTGTGAAAATTTGATTATAAAATAAAATTTGTTAGGAATATTCTATCGATTTTGTAAGGTTTTTTCGCGAACTTTTTTAAATGCAAGAAATTTCTGAGATTATATTATTTCGAAAATTAAGGAGAAGGTTTCATCAATGAAAGCAAATTTTCGTCTAAATATGAATATAAAAGTAATATGAAAATAAAAATATTTTACCAAATCCTATTTTCCATGGTAGGGGGGGGGGGGGTCGACCCCAAATCTTCCCTCCTGATAGGCAGTTTTAGGGAAAAAATTCGAGGAATAGAAGTATACCTGTAATTCAATATAAATAATTTAAAGCTAAATTTATATTGCCCATTTTAAAAAAAAAGAATTATCAATTTCTTTTAGAGATCCACAATGTCCCACCGACCGGGTCTGAGAATTTTACTATTTGTGGACCTCCTAATGTCTTTACTATTTAAAATAAAGTTAAATCACTATTTGAATTGGTCCTTAACTTTTCCACAAGAACAAATAGCAAATATTTTGCCGGACCAAAAATAAATTTTAAATATGGATGGTCTTTAAAAAAGTTTGAATGCAGTTTGACTTATTTTGTCGTTTTTGGTTCTTCTTTAAATGGGTAAAAGGTCGAAATGCTTTCGGGATAATGTCATGAAATTCAAGAGTGAAAAATGGTAAGTATTATATATTATTATTATCTCCAGAGTTCTTAAAATATCTAGATACACTTTATAAAATATATCTGTATCTAGATACTAGGTATCTGTAATTTTTAGGAACATTTTGATATAATTTGATTTTACATTTTTTTATTTTAAAAATAATAGTATTTGAAATAAATTTATTTAATAATATGTCCGGGTTTATTTCATTGTGAAATTAACATGACAAATTTTATTTTACGCAATGGATGATGACAATATGGTAAGTTTTATATTATAATTTATTTTATTTATATTAATTTAAAAAATATGAGTCATAATTTTTAGATATTAGATAAATATTTCTAGATCATCTCTTTAAGAAATAAAATAATTCAATATTCGATTTCTTGGGCACCCATTAGATGATATAAGTTTTCACACTCATTAAATTTTGAATAAATATTTTTGTAATGAGTGTCGGATATTAATGTATTTATCCAATATAAAGTTGCTTTTCATTAAATATAACAACCATTCTGCTGTCAAGTGCCCATGTATAAAAAGTTCAGTGTCGCTAAAATGTCCTTACAGATAAACAGGGTGACTTAATGATAAAAAATTTGAGAATGTTTTATTATGATTATACATCTTATATACGTATTAGTAAAATCTAACATTCATTATTTTAATTATATTTTTTTGTATGGATGTGATATCAGTAATACTGTAAAATAACGTCGTTATTAACGGCGTTATCTGTAATGCGTTTCATCTTATAAAGTAACGGTAACGCAAAACATTACTTTAAAATTTTTCTTAGATAATATGGAATGAATATATTTTATTATATATTAATATTTTTTTAAATTATATATAATTTAAGCCGAGTTTTTAAAATCAGATTAACGACCATAATTCTTCATTTTATTTTATTCTTTTTATTTTTGTTAAATTTTATACAGTCAAGATTGATAATCTAAGTATTGAATCAATCAAGGTATGTTCATTTTATAGAAAATATATGTCAATAATACTTATTTATTCGGATGAAGATGATTTAACTCGGCCTTGGCAATCTTTTTACACAAATAAAGGCAATTAAGAGCACTAAATCTACTACATGTTAATTGTGCCCTAGTTCAAATATTTTAGTTTCGACCTGCAGCTCAAATCTAAAAAAAACAGATGGTGGTTAAAATATGTTCTGATTAAATTCTGGTAAAGATAAAAAAAATTATTAATGTGACGATGATTTAATAAAATAATATTTTTTATTAATTCCCACTAGTAAAATTTTCATATATTAAATGTAATGCAACTCTCCAATCTTCTGCGCCAGTTGAACATGTGCTTACGCGAGAATTGTAAAATTCTTTATCTGATGAAAATTTTGAAGATCTTGTTAAAAATTAAAATAGTGAAAAAAAATAAATAAAAAGAAAAAGAAAATTTATATATTATTAGCATTTCTTAAATAACGGGTAGCTTTTTTTGAATAGCGAGTGATGCGACAAGGTAATTAGTAACGGTAATGCCATCCATTTTTTAAACGTAACGAATTTCTTTTTTGAAGTAATGTATACAGCACTAGATATCAACCATTTTTAGTTCATTTAGAAATTTGAATATTAATAATAGAATATCCTAAATTAAGCATTATGCAAACCTTATAAATATAGTAAAGTTGTATTTATAAATAGATAGATTTGTAAATACATTTTAAAAAATGTATCTGTGTCTAGATACATTTGAAAAGTATCTTTTAACAACTCTGATTATCATCTCCAACCAAACACATGAGATGTTTATTACATTATATTTTTCGCAATCGCAAATATAAAAGTTTATGCAAATCTTCTCTAATTATTATAAGCCAGTTAAATAATTGTACAATTGTGAAACCAAAAAAGGACTAAATTCAATTAAGGCTAATATACTTAACGTAAAAACAATAATTTATTATAATTAAAGTGTCCAATAAAATTGGAAATGTTGCATTTTAACACCAGAGAGATCTTATTGTGAATGCTCAAGCAGGGGAGGATTTTTGATCAAATTTTACCTAAAATTCAAATCTTTTATTAAATTTTTTTGTGATGATGAAATTACAAATTTTTATAAAAAGGTAAAAAAAAAATTGTTATCTTCTAAGATCAGAATTTTGGGCGAAAAAAATAATACTTATAAATCCGTTTAGAACAAAGGAGTAGTCATGAACATCAAATCCTTTTTTTTAAATTAATAGATATTAAAGTAATATACTCATCATTAATTATGCCTTTTCGTGCATATTCCCCCCCCTTAATTTATTCATATTTTTCATAAGAATTTAACACTTCAAATCGCTCTGCTTTTTATTTTATAAAAAAAGGGGAAAATAAAATTAAAATAGATTTGAAATTATTTTTAACAAATTGACAAAAATTAGAAGTTTTTTTAAAAAACCCTAATCGAATCTCTTTCATCTATTCCAGTGAACGTCCCTTCCCCCTTAAAAAATTTGCCCACTCCTGAAATTTAGGGACAGTTATAGATTTTATAAAATGTTTATAATTTAGTGGAAAGCGTCGAAATTTTGAACAGTTCTATTGCGAGGCCAAATTTATTCGGTATCTTAGCTGTAGCCATGATGTTTGGAATAACTTTAGCGACTTTTAAGGAGAAAGCTAAACCGTTAATCGATATACTCATAGCTGCTAACGTTATGCTCATGGAAATGGCCGAATATATAATGTGGTATGTGATATTTATTAAATTTAATTCAATAAGATTTACCAAGGCAAAAATTGTGACCTCGATAAAAAAAAATATCAACCTTCACTTGAAATTTTATCATATTTTATATGTATTATATAATCTAAATATTTAACATAAAAATAGTTGGGCTTATTAATTTATGAATTTAAACATTCAATAGTAGAAGTGGATCTGATACCTTCCTTGCTTGATAATTGTTTTTTCAGATCTATCAGAGTTAACCCGATGCTACATTTAGCCGACACAGAATTAATATTAATAATGTATCGACCGATACTGGTAATCAATACTAAAAAAAATAATTATACTACAATAATTATATTGAAAATCGTCAACAAAGGATGGGAATTGACAGAATTTGGAATATTTTTCTTTGAATTAAAATTAACTTTTATAGGCCGTGCCCTGGTTCCTATTATTTTTGAACGGGTTAAACAGATCTTGATTTTGAACTAAGACACCTTATCTTTGTTCTAAGTACTATGTAAATCTCCTCTTTCGTTTAGTTTAGAGGAAGCTATATAGACGGCTAAACAGACCTACTGTTTAGAAATAAATGAAGTAATGGCCTTAAAATTTCATAATAGATTTTAGGAGATGGCACTCTTCTTAGCTAAGTTGATAAAACTATTGTAACATTTTTCCCATAATAATTTATAAAATAAAGGTATCAGATATCATTTTAAAATTTTTATGATTTTTTATATAACAATATTTACCTCGTGTTATAAAAAAAGGATTTCTCCGATCGGTAACTTTTGCCTCATAATCGAAAAAGTTATGGCACATAGTAAGGAGATAAAATTTTACGCCTGGGATATCTTCATGGCACTTGTCCTGAATATAAGTGGTTTATTGATAGTGTCCACATTCGGAATGTGCACTGTGTATTTTGTGTACGCGCATCGTAATCCGATTCCTTTATTTAAAAACTCGAGGGAATCTATCGTTACCGCTTTAACCACGGCATCCAGGTTCGTTCGTTATTGAGGAATGAATTTCAATATGAATTCATATATTTATTTTTAAATTTTATCAGCTTAAATCATTAAATAGTCTAATTTATAATAAATTATAATAATGTTTTAAATAGAGAATAAGGCGCGGCATTTATATTAAGCTCGAAAATAGCGCCATATAACCCCAAAACGATGAGATATCAAAAATTAAACGAATATATAAACATTATATTTATTCTCACGCGTTGATTTTTTAGTGGTGATACTAATTTTTTTATATTAGTATATTTTATTTTATTATAATTGTTTTAATGAATCTATATTATTGGTGCTATCTTATCTTCATACCAGTTTTAGAAATTTTTCTAAAAATTTTCGTTAAGCATTGCATTTGGCCTAAGCTTTAGGATTAGTGATTTCAAAAGTTTGGCAAATTTTATTCTTAAGGATGTGTCTTAATATGAGATTCAGATTCATATCAAATTTTTCAAAATATAATGAAATTTAACTATTTTACATTTATATCTATTAAATAAACCGAAAAGAACAAATAATATCTATAAAGATCATGAAATCATAAGATTCAAAAATATCATGAATTAGTAATTGATTTTTGAATCGTGATTTAATAACTTGTCCGATCTGAAAAAAACTGACAGATGAATCATACCAATATAATTACATATTGGCCCACCCAGATATTCAATGCATCCATGATTTTGGTTCTGGCATTTTGCCATGGCTGATTTCGTGCTTAAGGCTTGATATAATAGTTTTTATTTGGCTTTTAATTCGGCTACTTCTGTATGGTTAGCGGAATTAATTGAAGAATTATATGTAAGGCACTAAATATCAACGCAAATCAAAAGAACTTCTATGTTCTCCGTTCTTGCATTATGCCAATTTTTTTCTTATTTTACCAATAACTTTCCCCCTTCAACATATGAAGGCAATAAAATGTATACTTATAAATTTTAGAATAAGTGTTTCCAGAAGCTTGGCTCAATTATCGCGTAAAATCAGAGTTTTCATTATGTTTATAACTCGATTTTTTGTGGTTAGCAAAATGATTGAAAAATTTATATATCAGGCAATAAGTTTTAGCGCAAACCAGATATTTAGTTCTTCTACATTTTCTATTCTGGCATGATACTAAATTTCCATTTTACTAATAATAAAAAATTTCTCTTTACTGTATCCAAATGGATATTAAAATATTATTAAGCACTATGATAAAATTTTCAAATGCTTTTAGTCGCTTCTTAAGTTTATTGACCAAAATTTTGTTGCGAATTATGCTTTATACTGGCTAATATACTACTTTAAATCACACACAGGCACTAATAAAGCACAATATTAGCATGGAGTTAAGAATTGGTGCTTCTAGATATTACATTTTTTTTAAAAAATATAAATAACCACGGAAATTCCCTAATCAGGATTTTGAGCGGGATTCGGCTGGCCGGGCAAATAAAGGCATGAGGGAAAAGTTTAAAAAAATTCTCATATCCTCCCCCCTCCCTGATAAATTTTTAGCTACGGCATTGATAATAGTATAAATTCCAGCTCATATTTAATTTCGGTATAGCCAATTTGATGTTCAATTTGACTAGGGTAAATGTCACTAATAGTAGGCTCGATTGACGATTCATTATTAAAATGTATTAAAAAGTGTACACACATTAAAGTCTTCCATTGACATTTAAATGAAAAAGGTATTTATAATAAATTACTTTTCAATGGCGCGTACTACAATCCAGCGATACCCCTTTCAATAACGTCTACTACAACCAATGACATTGACTACAGCTGATTTGTGTGGTTAAAAAAGTGTTATAGACTCAATTGCTGACTCGAAGAGTATTTTTTTATTCTCGTCTATAGTCTATTACTTTTGTAGATACTTACCATTTTGGCTTAGTTAGACTTTTAAATTTTGATCGAGATACTTTTTTAAGGAAAAGAGATAATTTTTTAAAAAGAGTTTACTATCATTTTAATCTAGGAAAGTAAATATTTAAATATCGTAACAACTTTTTGATTAAATTTAAAAAAAATATTTACAAAACCGAACCGGAAAATTATTTTCCCGACCAAACCCATCCATAAAAAAATAATCACATCTCAATCCAGGGTTTTTAGGTTTTACAGACATCTACTTTTCTTCAGTCTCTTGGACTCTGACTTCGATCTTTAATATTCATAATATTACGCTAAACTGTTCTTTCTTTAGGTTAAAATAAGCTCAAAAACAAAACTGGAAATAGGGACTTTTATTTTAAAAAAATGAATGTAAAATATAAATTTTATCGTTATTTGTATGTAAATTCAAAGGCGTTTTAAAATATTTACAGTTCATTGACTTAAATCTAGCAATAGAATAGCAATGAAACATCTAAATTTTTATTTAAATTATGCTAAAAGAATGAGAAATAAGTTTTATAACGGAGGCTGAACAAATCAAGTACTTCTACACGAGAGAAGATATTACCCAACATTCATAGTTAGCGCGAATTAGCCTAGGTATACATATGCTGTATTTTTGTATTCTTCGCCGCTAATTCCTTCTAACTGTAAATGAAGAGTGATGCAACATTATTGAAATAGGTTGGTGGGAGGGGAGGGGGGTAGGTGATTATGAAGACACTATCGTCATTTGAATAAAATTGAAGGGTAGTTTTGATTTGGATATCTTATAGTAGTGGCTAGGGAGGTAAAATTTTTACTCATTTTCGCGGGATTGCCCCGAGATCTTGTTTATATTTCTAAATGAAAAGTTAATATCGAATTCTATATAATTGCTGACTATATAAGTAAAAATTATAAGAAAATTATTTTAAAATGTATAATATATTTAATTTTGTTTAAAGAATACAATTTTAAAGTCAAATGGCATAGCTATATTTTTTTAATGATAAATATAAACAATTGTGTCTGTAGTCGATGATACCGTTGGCTAGGTTTGCTCGTGCTGTTAATTGGGTCTGCTCAGAGTCCTTTTATCGACTTCAAGCTCGACTGAATTTACGGCTATGGCGACTCGGTTGAGCAATCAAACAACATTACAGCTGACTTCAGTGTACGTACACTTTTAATAAATGAATCATCAGTCTAGGTTAGTATTAATGCCATTGCCGTCACACGTCTTTACTAAATCAATTTAATATTTTTTTCCTATTATTCATTTTTAATAGAGGAATCATGATCTCTAGCATCGATATTAGTTATATATACCAAAAATTTAATAAAATATTTCGATATTTGCAGCTCCTCGTGTTTACCATACACTATCAAGGCCTGCATCAATTCAGGGGTCAATTCCAAAATATCTCAATTTGCCTGCACTTTTGGAAATATTCTTAATAAAAATGGAACATCCTTTTTTATCGTAAGCGTGGCGTGTTTCGCTTCCAAAAAAAGTGGACGTTCTTTGTCGATAAATCAAATCGTCACGATATGGTAAAAAAAAATTAACAAAAGAAATTGTGTAAATTAAATTCTAAAAAAGTTTAAATGCAACTATGCTTCAGATAGTTACGCAAAAGTCATTAACGTCAGAAGGGAGAAGTTTTAAATACGTCAGTAAAACGCCTCTGCTTCAAAAGCGTAAAATTTAGATACCAATCGTAAAAATAAATATCGAATCCTTTATTCACATTTAGATAAATTAAAGTACTTATCCTAAAATTCATAAATGGTTGCCCAAAATGATAACAAGAAAGCGGGAAGATAAGGAGTAGTTCTGCATCAATATATCTTTCAAGGAGTCTTATTTTTAATTGGTAGCGAGTCAAAAAATATTAGAAGGGAGTAGGGAATAAATCTTGGCCCGTTTCTCCTTTTTAAATCGTTGTTACTTTAAGAAAAATCCAACGCCATTGAAACCTTTTATAATTTTTTAAAACATATTTTAATTTTGTAATCGGAACTTTTTAATTTTAGCTATAAATCTCTATTTTTTTTATCTTAAAACATATTTTAATTTGTAATCGGAACTTTTTAATTTTAGCTATAAATCTCTATTTTTTTTATCATACAATTACAATATACTTTATAAAAAATTGCATCAATTCCCCATTTCTTAATATGTAATGTTAATTAAAAATAATTGCGCCAAAAGTTTAGCTTCAACTGCTATAAGTATGGGAACCGCCGGAATTCCATTCGCCGGTATAACAGCTGCGACAATCGTCATGGAAGTCTCTTTACTGCCTAGAGCGGCTATAGATAGTATAATTGTGATAGATTGGCTACTGTAAGAATTTTTTTTATATAAATTGATTGTTTGTCCCTTATAAATGGTCTATTTAATTATTTTACCCCATCTCCAAAACTGATTAATCTAATTCAACTTTCATAAAAAAAATTACAGCTATATCTTAATTAGTGATCTACATCGAGTCTAATTCTTCAAGCCCGACTTTTTTTAAAAAATTATTAGACCTGAACCAGAACCGAGTTTTTTAATAGACCCCACCCGAAGCCAACCCGTTCGGGCCGAGTGTACTTTTGTAGATCTTTAATCTTAATAAATTATTGCTTACGAAAAAAAATCACTTTTTTGATTCGAGTATTTCAGATCGTTATTATAGAGTATAATACATAATATTCAAGGTATATGCTATAGAATGGAGTTTTTTTCTTAAAGAGTGATATAGATTTAGTACGCACTTAAAACAAAACAGAATGGGGTATGCCCTAGCTTAAAATCTGAATAGAGCTGGTCTAAATAGAAATGAATTTTAAAAATAGAATAAGTCAGAACACGGCTATACGCTTTAAAAAATTTTTTTATCCAATATAAACTTGCTTATCATTTTTTATAATTTGTTCTATTATGAAACTCGAGTGACCGCATTAGAACATCCGTAAACATTTGGAGCAATATTATTATGGTATCAACGGCGGACGAGAAATTAAAAATTTATCTAGAAGAGCTATCTATCGACGAATACAATTATGAATAATAAATTTATTGTTTGAATAAATTTCGCCTTTCCTAATTTTATATTATAATATATTATTAAGAAAAATAGCAAAATACGAAAATAAATTGTATTTTAAATAGAATGAATAGGTGTGAAGTTCTCGGTATATGCTCCAAAAGGGTTATGTAGCATAAGGTATAAGAAATTAAAATTATAATAGTTTTTATCTTATTTTAAATTGGTAAAAGGCTTAAACTAAATCGTTTCCTTATTTATTTACAACTTGTAAAATTATCATTTATGAATATATCAAAAATTTTTATACAAATACTTATTAGTAAAAGTTATTATTAACAAATCGAATAATAATTATTATCATATAAATCATCACAGTTTAAAAGACATGAAGGTAAATTACATAATCCGTCAGAAGGTCGATACAATATTTATATGTTTTTAAGTTATGTTTTTCGCTTCATTCTATCGGGCGCGATCAACTGTATTTGTTTGTCGATTTCTTCTACAACGTCGAGATTCTCCGGCAAATGAATGAATCTTATAAATCTGCCCTTCAAAACATAACAAGAATATGTGGAGTGAACATTATCGTAAATGGGTTCGTGCAGTGTCGCGTCCTCTAATGTTACATCCATGTAAGGGCTGACTTCCGTAACTAACCCATCGACCCAATATTCGTTTATCAAATCTATCCGAATTTTTTGAGGGTACTTCCGGAGAGAAAATAGTAAAATGGTGAGGCTGTTTAAAGATACCGCTTTCTCCTTGGCGGTGTATAAAGTTTTCGGAGATATCAAGTTATGGATTTCCATGAATATAATTAATAATCTAATAAGTCATTTCTCGGGTTTGTCAAGTAATTTAAATGTGTTTTTTTTGTTCTATTATTTAAGGATAAACATAAAATTATAAAGTCGTAATTGAATTATGTTTACTTTAACATTTCTAAATAAATTGAAATTGCTTTAAATTATTTCATCAACATAAAAATTATTGGAATCATGCACATATAATTATTAATATATAAAGCTCCCTATTTTTTAAACTTTTAAAATTATCAGAGACCTGCAGGTTCGGCCCTAAGCCAGGGTTTAGGGCAGGGCTGTATTTTTAATAAATAAACGGGCCGGGCCTGAAAATTTTTTTAAAAAAATCCGGGCCGGACCGTATATTATAAAATTAAATATTTGAAATCGCCATTATTAACTATAAAAATCAAAAATAAATATAATATATTTTTTAAAAATCCGTATCGGGCCTGAAAATTTTTTTTAAAAAAAAGAGCCGGGCTGGGCAGTAAAAAATTTTTGAATAAAAAATTCGGACCAGGGCGTGCAAATGGTACCTCTGCAGATCTCTGAAAATTATAATGTTATATTATGGTATACAAAGAATTAGATATATATTTTTTTTTCTATAGTTGGTATTAATTTGTTGCATAATTCAAGATATTTCTATCGATTCTAACATAGCTAATTTTTTAGGATTCATCTTATTTTTAAATGCTTTTTTATTATGTAAAATAACTAGGTATACATTAAGGCTGCACCAACTAGAGATCTGCAAAAGTAGGCCCAATTTGTACCCGAGGCTCGAATCTAATTTTTTTTTAAATCAGGATTGGACCAGGTGGGCTTAATATTTTTTTTTTAAATTCAGCCAGGCAGGGCCTTGGAAATTTTTTTAAATATATTTATTTAAATAGATTTATAAATTTTATATTGAATTTTTTATGTAAAAAAAAATATTTGATTTTATTTATAGAACTAGACGCCATATAACATATGCCTTTTATTTTGAGTAATTATAATAATTAACTTCTATATTTAAATAAAATTGAGCTGGTAAATTTTTTTTTTAAAAATCGGGTTCGGGCTGAGCTTGCATAACTTTTTTAAAAAAAAATTTCAGGCCACCAACCCACAATTTTTTTACTGATTCAATATTTCATTCAAATGGCACCAATATTGATCTGATATTTACTTTAATTTTTTGTCATAAGATAAGATAATGAAATAATACCATCCATCTTTCATATCAATGATAAGATAACTTTTTAAATATTTCCAAAATTCAATTCTGCTTTTAGATTATTCAATGTCTTTTTATTTGCTTCTTTCATACTCCTGTAATATAATAAAATTTTTTAATCGATACTTAAAAATAGTCAGCTTAAAATCTAATCAAAATAGCTATCTATAAATTACTCTCCCAATAAAATCTGAAAAACTTGGCTTATGATTATCATTACTCCTGTCAAAAGTTTTTTTTTAATTTCCTTTCTAGGGTTGGTAAAGTCCTTAAAAAAATTTATATAAAGATCATATACTTAGAAAAATATCTTAGATACAAGTCATCAAAAAAAATATAGATACTTGTATTTTTTTCTAAATAAAATCTTATAACAAGATATTTTTTATGAAAAAATTTATCAAATCTTTCCTCCCAATAGGCTGTGTTCAAGGTAAACTATTACTCCTATGATTCACAAAAAATTGATATTAATACTTCAAACCCAACTGCTAAAATGAATAGTGTGACACAAAAGAATGGATAATTGTAATTCATCACAGCAATACTGTACATATATGTTAATTGTTTAACAAGCTGAGATATAACTTCCAAATAAATAACATCCATTCTGCAGTTTCTTTAGAGGAACTATCCCAAAATTGTTTAGAATTTTATTAAATTACCTAAAATGCTAACAAACACATGATATTTCGATGACTATAATAAAATATTCCAATATTTTATGATTTTTTGATATAACAATAATAAACTAAAAAAGATATCATTATAAAATGAATTTCTTTTAAGCAAATATAAGCAACAACAACATATTGCAATCACCAAAATATTACTTTTTTTATATATTGTCCAAAGGATAATCTAAAATGTTAGGCAATATAATTAAATATATTTTATTCCACTCTATAAAATAAGATGATGATACTTAATACAATTATTAATGTATATATATATATAATTAAGAAATAATAAACTTGAATTATATAATTAGCATGCAATAAACTATGTCAAAATAAAAGAAAAAGATAAACAACAAAATTAATGCAAAAATCCATGAGAAATAATGTTAAAAGTAGATAATCAATTTGTTAAACAAAAATAAAAAGGTATATGTATCTTTCAATAAGGCAAATGAAAAAGATATAAGATTTTTTTGAAAATAATGTATCTTATATATAATAATTATCTTATTAAAAATTTCAAAAAGATACAGCACAATGGTAGTGCCCAACCCTGCTTCTTTCATCAAAAACAAGATTCCCACTCAATTTTTAAATTAATAAAACTTTAACTGTTTTGTTAAACTGGTCTGCTGGCACATCTTGTAGCACAATTTAGTCACCTGGTTTACAAAAGGATTGGGATGCATATTATGTTCTTTGATTTTTTACTTTCAAGCAATCACATCCAGCAGTGTATCAACTTTTGTTCATTAGTTATTGATATATATAATCATATAAATTATTCCTGACTTACAATTTCTATATATGTGGGATATTGTTTAATTTATAGCTAAACATCTACCCCATCACATATATAAGACATCCAACATTAAATAAGATTGTCAATTATTATTTAAAGGCAATGTTCAACTTGGACCCTGAGATGCTTTCATTATAAAAAATTTATAGACTGACGGACCCTGGGATGTGGGCAAACACATGTGTCAAAGTTTTAGGGAATAGACATCCTCCCTTCTATAGCAATTGTGGCCCATTAGGAATTGCTGAGAAAAGAAAATCCCCAAAATATTTAAGAACAATATATTCATATCCATTATGGTTTCAACTATATATTCATTTGAAAAGGAAGCAGAATCCATATGTAAATTTATCAGCCAAGTCCTAAAACAATCATTTTGTGGGTCTTTTAATCAAGCGTTAAATTGTTAAGAAGCCATAACCTGATGAGGTAGCTATTAATATTTAAATCTTTAATTTTAATACATCTTTGTTCTTTTATGCTCTAATGATACTTTATATTATTAAATACATAATAATGTTATTTTTTTTTAGGAATTAATAAAAACTTAAATTAAAAAAAGTTACTTGTTTCCAATGAGCTTGTTTCTATTTGATATCGTGATACGTGATATAGAACGTTTTCGCCCTCTAGTCAATCACCATGCAGAAATAGCCACACACTTATTAAAAGTTTTCTGCCAAAATCAGACAATTGACTTGCGGGCATATGTTAAGATCCAATACCTATCACATTTGGACCATTGCGATGACTTTTTTAAAGGTTTTATGATATATTAAACAGCGGTCATGTTAAAATGTTATTACTTTCCAAAAATCCCAAAGAATTAATTGGAAGAACAAAATTCACAATACTATCAAAAATATATTTATCATCAACTTTAATACCTTTCAGGTGATAAAACAAATCTTATACAATATTAAACACAAATAAGTTGATCAATAATTTTTCCCCTATTTTTTTTCTCAAACAGGTTTATTTTTTATTATTTAATTATTTTTATCTTATTCAAAATATTTTTTTATTAAAAGAACAACCACGATCCTTAAACCATTTTTCTCTTTTTTATGTTAAAATAAATAAAAAATTAAATAAATATCCTAAATCTCATTTATAATAAGTACATAATCTCTCAATAAACCACATAGAGATAAAATAATTAAAGTTATTTTTTTTTAAATTTCTGAAAAGAGTATCATTATAATTAAAAAGTTGTAATTAATAATGGGAAAACATCGCCGCCGAAGACCAAAATTTTTTTAGGGGGTAGGCATATATTTTTGAGGGGGTTTGCATCCAGTGAAAATCCTGTCTAGTAGACGGTGAGGCTTCTACCAGTGCAAAAAATTTATTACACAAAATAAAGCTTTACTTTTTTAATATGATGATAACAATATTTGAGAATAGAAGATTTAAATACTGAAATCCAAAGTTCTTCATTACGTTTTCAAAATGTAAATAAAATATAGAAATCTTGATCAAAATTTTATATGCAATATGACAAGATAATAGTTAAATAAGTTTTCAAGACAAGTTAATTTAAAAGCAAAAGAATTAAATTTAGAGGAGCTCGTTTTAAGGATATAAAAACTTCATCTAAGATTAGATGAAGGCTCCAATTTTTCATACTACGGGTCAGTTAATGAATATTAAAGACAAATTTATTATGAAGTTTAATATAACACCATTGAAAGTGTAAGAAATTTTCAACAAACGAGTAATGGTTTATTTATTTAATATGGAATAACTTTTTATTAAAAACTTATGGAAATCATGTTTCAGAATTCTATGAATGACCTAATGGGTCGTCTAATTCTTGATAGAGTAGAGTTATACTTTTGTACTATATGAAATTATTTAAGAGTATATTTAATATTTATTAAAATTATATTAACAATTTCTGTTAGTGCTTGGTCTGCATAATCACCGTGTCTATAATTATTTCTTAAATTTTATTACGTTCTACAATGAAACAGTAGAAACTTTATTTAAATGTGGTAATGAGTATTTTTATAAATAAAAAAGAAAATAAGAAGAAACGCATTTTACCTTGAAAAATATATTATTATTATATTATATCACTCATAAAATAAAATATATTAAATATTATTTAGTCATTTACATTATAAAAAAACTAAGGGAAATAAAAATGAGATATTCTATATAAAATTAATTAAAAGTTTTTTTGTTATTTTTTCACAATTAATTTAAATTTGATAGGTTTTTTTTCAAGTTTTTAACAATCTTAATATTTAAGTCCCCATAAATAATCTATATAAAATAATAATAGAAAAAGGTTATTATATATAAAATTTTATGAACAAAAATATAATGAAGTATATAATTATTCTATGGATATGTGTTTAATTATTTTAGTTCTAAGTAGTAAATGAATTTATATCAAGCGATCAAAAAAGAAATATTAAATATTATTAATATAATTCATTTACGAATCTCCTCTCTCTCAAATATATATATGTATATAATCTAGTTATATATATATATATATATAAACAATTAGTAAATTAATTAAGTGAATATATAATAGATCTCTATAAACATTAATTAAGCGAATATATTACAAGTCATAAGGTAAAAGTAAGTAAATTGCGGAAAATATCATATCATAATACATTAACCCGCCTCCCTTAAAAATAATCTAACTAGGTCGTAAATAAGATGTAGTATATAAAGGCGAAATTACAATTTATTCCTCTAAAAGAAGTATTATTTTATCTTTATTAATATTCTTTTATACACCCGGAGTCCATAACATTTACTTTCTCATACATCTCTAGTCATAATTGATTTTATGGAATAGGTATGATATTCCACTACTTTAAACCTACTTTTATTTTGCTATATTAATATTTATTATATATTTTTTTTTAAATTTAATTGTTTTTATTATATTTTTAATTTCAAATTTTTAAAACGTTTAAAACATATATTACAAATTTTATTATAAGTAAAAAAAATTTGTTTTTAAATAAATTCATATTTAAAAAATATATATTAAAAATTATATAAACTAAAACAGTAAGGAACAAGGGGGAAGGAATTAAAAGATATAGTCAGGCATAGAGCCTAGGATGGAGATAAAATTAGATCTACTTAATAGATATTCTTAGTCTAAGGTTTTAATTTTCTTTAGGATCTCTATCAAAAATTTTTTTAAATAGAATCGCTTCTTCGCCTAAGTTTGCAAATATGGTAGTATAGTAACAAAGGATAAAATAAGATGTTTTATAATTGGAATATTTGTTACGTTTAGATGTTTTGGCGGATGCATCTATATAGGTATTATCCCATATCAAAGATTATATTTTCGACCAATGAGTAAGAGTGACACCGCTTGGCATTTTATTCTGAGATTTTTGATCCGACTGGTTCTAAGACAAGAATGTTCGCTTTTAATAGTACTTTGTGGATTAGATTGTTTATTTCCCGATAGTGGGGATTTCTGCCCTTAGAAAATTTGAGTTATGCCCTTTACTGTCTACCGGAGTGTTGCAAAGAGTGCATGAGTTGGTATAACTAGATTACAATTAAGACTGATCCCTAATGATATCCTGTGTTCTTATGGAGAAAAGTATGTCTTTGAGTTTTGATAGGGGATAGCCTCAAGTCAGCGTCTACAAAACAGGATTTTCACTGGGTGCAAAAATCCCTTAGAAAGCTATGCCTACCCCCTTAAAAAATCATTGCCACCAAAGGCGGCGATGTTTTTCCATTATTAATTACATCATTTTAGTTATAATGATACTCTTTTCAGAAATTTTAAAAAGAATAACTTAAATTATTTTATCTATACTACCAACTATCAAAATTTTGTGAATATAAAGGAGTTATATTTTAGATAAGTAGGAATTCTTAGCATCAAAAATGCTCAATTAAAAAACCCTCGTTTACAATGAAGGCATCATTATAGCATTATGAGCTTGCTGAGAATGTCTACAAAAAGTTTTATTTGGAAAATAATGTCTATGATTGTTTGCAATTGTAAGAATTCAATAGAATCTCCCATTAAGTAATAATATCATCATGTCATATTTTATTTTTATACAAATACATTTTTATTTTTTATTCCCCTTTCACTAAAAACAATTTTTATTTATATATCTTTTTTTTAATAATAAAAAAATAACTAATTGTGTGAAATACAAATTGATATTAAAAAACGTTAAAATGATATAAAAAAAATGTTAATATAAAATTTTGACCGAAAGGCATAATCACTATTATTTAACATTCCACCCTCCAAAAAAATTCGGCTTACGATTTCCTTAAATAAGTTGAGTGGAACGCCATTAACGCTCATGATCGCCACGTAATACGCCACCCATGTTCATGGTGCAGTCTTCTTTTTAAACCGAACGATAGCTTGGTAAAGCAATAGCAACCCTTAGCTAACTTTGCGATCAGATCATTTGTGCATGGCATCGGGCATCTAGATTCCTCTCGACCAAGGATGTTGTTCTTCAGCCAGCCATCCAATTCACGAGTCATCGCATCAACCCTGACATATGGAACTCTCCTCGGATGTATGATCTTAGGCACGGCATCGAGCTTCAGGTGAACTTTCTCCTGATCATGTTGGGTTTGTAGAAGTAAGTTGATTTGAGGTTTTTTTTTGTTGTCAAGATTATCTTCTCGAGACCATTCTCTACGTTACCCACTAAGAACGTTTTTAATATGTTGTTGAAGGCGTGGAGCCATATACGCCCTAGCAGGGGGATCTTGTCACAATCCAGTACTATGGCCTCCGGCGTTTGTGAGTTACCTTCATACTTAACGTTCACATTTACAAGACCTAATATCTTGATGGCGCTGCCGTCATAACCAGTGAGTTTTATATCCGTCTTACGTATCATGGTTATGCCTACAGTCTTAGCTGTCAGCTTCGGAAGTATGGTGTACCTGTACCTACCGTTGTCAACTTGCATCAACGTGGGTATGTTGTTGATGCTCACCGTTACGTTGTACGCGTTATATCTGGTATCGTTGACCCCCAGATTGGACATTTCCAAATTCTGAAGATTATATTCTTTAAGGTCTGTGTTTGAGTCGTCGTCATCGATTACTTCGATGTTCGTAGCATGGTTCGTATTCAATTGACAATCACGGTCTTTGTAATCAGAAGATCTGTTGTAAGTATTATTGTCATTATTATAATGGTTGGGCTTCGACGAATATTTCGGAAAACCATTAATATTTTGAGGGTTGTGTTTGTGCTGACCACGACGGGAATGTTGTTTCGGTTATCACCTCTATAGCAGTCATCCCGTCAATAAGGGCTTTGATGATGGTCACAATGATAGTCGTGGCGATTGCCATGGACATTGTACCCACTATTGTTGTATCGATCGTCGTAGTAGTTATCGTTGCGATTATCAAAACGGTTGCGGATATAGTGACAATTATCATAGCTTTGATCAAAACGATTGTCGTGGAAGTTGCTGTGCCGTCCATCGAATCGTTTGTCGCGGCCGCTGTCGTAGCGTATCTTGTAACGTTCATCAAATCGTTTGTCGCGGCAATAGTCGCAGCTTACATCGTAACGTTCATCGAAATGCTGTCCGGGGCGATTGTCATTGATAAACTGGGGTTGCTTGATAAGAGATTTACCA